ATTATATCTAGCTCGCCTTACGAGTTACGCCGACTATACTGAATCAAACATTTGTTGAGACTCGCTCTTATAGGCTCACTTTGATTAGGCCCCTTTTTCGACGATGACCACTGGTATCCATAATCCGCCATGAGGGCCTTGGCTCGCTGACCTCTGCGAGAAAATGTCTGGGGACTCTCTTTTCTCAATGAAGGTAATAAGTGGAAGCTGATTCGAGCGGAAGTACGCATCGTGCTTCAAATGGAGCACGATGCGTGTGTAAAAATAGCAGGTATTCCGATATAATTTTATTATTTTCAAGAGATGCATGAAAGAATTCAAATGATCGACCTATGCTATCGATCCTATTATTCTAACTTTAATATAAAAAAAAATACGATCTAATATTCGTCTTTGGGTTCTCTCTTTCTTTATCTGTAATATTTTTAAATTATGATATCTTTACACGTTTCCAACTTTCTATATTTAATTATACAAAATATTAAAATTTTTGGCTATTATAAAAATTATTAAATCTCTTCTTCTCCTTAATATTTGCAATATAAACAAGATAAATAAAAGTTATGTATGCTCATCAACTGAACTTCGTTAAAGCCGATTAGCTATATTGCAAACTTCACGATTAGCTTTATACAATTTCACGTAGGCGTTATCAGTATTATCATATATATCTCATATGACATTGTTCTTATATAATATATCAGATATACAGATTAGAAATTTATATTTAAAAAATGTGTTGACGCAATATATAAGCCACTTACATTAAATTTTTAGATATCTACTTTAGCTAAAAAACTGCTTTTCCTGTATGTTATTTCCGAAACATTTGTGATGACACACAAATCATCTAACAATAATAATTTATGATATCATGTGCATATCTGTGATACTTTATTTAAGTTTAAAAAATGCGTATAATTTTTTTTACTGTTATATTTGACTTTGTCAGGTATTATATGAAATTCGTAAATAATACTAATATTATTTATTAACTTTTTATTTGAAAAATAAGAACTTTATTTGAAAAATATTTTTGACATTTTTAAATCTTTATTTTAAGAAACAATTTATTTTTTCTTCGATTCAATTCTTGCATGAATACTTTTGTAATATTATGTAGCGTCACAGATATTCTCATTTATTATATGCACGAAAAGAAGCATTTTTATTAAAATATAGTCAGTTTTATTAAAAATCTAGTCAGATATACAAATCTGAAATAGTTACATTGTATTAAAATAATTGTAAAATAATTACATTATAATTTTAGATACGTCAGCAAAGCCGGTCTTCCCATATATTATTTCAATTAAAACACTTGTGATAACGCGTAGATTATTTAACAAGTTTATTTTGTTTCCATGATGCTATGTATATAATCTATGATATTTTATTTGAGTTTCAGAAATAACGCAATTTTATTTTTATAAGTATTTGATTTTTAACGAATAATATCTTATAAGCAAACTTATCATATCTTGACAATATCTTTGTTTTTCCTGTTTTGATGTATATATAATCGAACATACAAATGCAAACTGTCTTCTGTGTGATATCTGTAAAGATATCTTGTATTGGTACGTGCGATAAGCTGACTTTGTAAAATATAGAATTAAAATGTACATTAAAAATTACAAGAAAATCTCTTATAACGATGATAAACAATGTCATAATTCCACCAGAAATAATGGAGATTGATGAAGGTGTTTATGTTTCTCATAATAAATGCTCGACGTTGCTTCAACGATCTTTCGACGCCAAGATCGATTATTTGAATTAATTCATGTTAAATTAGCAATTCCTTTTATGGATTATCGCGTCCATGTACAAGAAAGGAAAGATTAATTAATGTTAGATTAATTAATCTTATACAACGTAATGAAAGGTATTTAAGATTCAGCAAGATTAGAGCCATGCAATGTCGGCTGAATATAGAGAGATATTGTATTTCCCACATCTATGCCGGATACAAAGGGGTGGTTCCATATCCCCGGTAATTATGGGCCGTCGGCTGTTTGGAAATTAATCGGGTCACCTTTGTTACTCGCAGTGACAATTAACTAATTACAATCGATTAATTAATAATCGCGAGCAATGAAATTATTTCAGAAATTCTTTAAATTAAATATTTCTTATAAATAAGACTGATTTAATATAAATAAAAATAAAAAAATTCCTAATTATCTATCAATCATATTAAATCAATGATTTTTCAGAAAATTTTGTTCTTTTAAAAAATATCTAAACCTGAGAGACTTCGATTTTATGGAAAGTTAACTGCAGAAAGTTTTGCAGAATAGTAAGATGACAGAGAAAGTAAAATCTATCATTATTTCTAATAGTTTGTGCGATTAATACAGAACTTATGTTACATAAAGAGTAAATTGCTTTGCAGGGACGATCCAACACATAGCGAAGAATGTAAATTAGTTAATTAAGCTTTCTTGTCCTATTTATGTTTTAATTGGTACTTAGATGATTAAAAGAGCATAGAAAATCAAAGTTAATTAATTAAGTTTGTCAATCTAATAATTAATTGTAATCTATGAAATTAAAGCGGAAAAATTAAACAGCTTTTAATTTAAATGAATCGTTTATGTTGAATTATAATTATCTGGTAAAATTTCATGTTTGCATAATGAGTAAGTTGCTAATGGATCATTTCATTGTTTACGTATATTGTACAGAAATCCAAGTTTAACCGATTACACGTGGACAATGTTATTGCCTAATAACCGTAATGCTAATTATTCTTCCGTTTAAAGCTATTGAAATTATGTTTTCCTTGGTACAAAATCATTATTAAATTATTAAAAGGAGAAATTGTATATGTACATGTTTAAAATATTTAAAACATTATATGCCGATTTCCATTTCGTTAATTATTGATATCATAAAATATTAGTGCTACGAAATATTACAATGTAAAACAGTTTTGTATTTGTAATTTAACAGTCACAGTTCCAATAGATGCAGTTCCAATAAATGTCACAGTTCCGACAAATGAATCTATAAGCGAGTATTGAATGGACACGATCTTCAATTGCAGATATAACTGACAAAAGAGCCGATATGGCGCGATTCATTTCAACAAAGTGTTACCTTTATAGTGCTATCAAGAATCAGCTAGCGTGGTGTCAAACGTTTGCCCGTTTAATGTCTGGTAACCTTGACCCGATATTCGGATAACTCGTCGACAAGGCTAACGATTCAACCTGACAGATTACATCGAGACTGTCTCGATTTATGCATACGTATGTGACCACGCCAGCCGTTTGTATACATACATAGTCATTGATTCGCGGAGTATCTACCGAAAATTCTTCCTAGATTTATAATCCAGGGTCGCGTCTACATGTCGCCAGTGCAAAAATGAAGTCACGATAATTATGACAATTTTATCACTGTTCCCTTAAGTATAAATGTACACGTCACGATCAAACATGCACATTTAATTCTTACCTTTGAATTACTTTAATATTATCGGGGCGACTGACTGTGTAAGCTGATAATATTATTAAAGGATTTTCCACATAACATACAAAATTAATGCGCATTAATAATCTTTTAAGATTTTTTTATTTACTAATTATACATTTAAAATACAAATAAATCTGCAAACATTTAATTTTTTATTATGTCGTTCTCTTTACTTCAAAAGTCACACAACTAAAAAAATTAAATTTTCTAGAAAGGAAAAAAATCATTTTCCAAATTGACACAAAATTATTGACTAATCAAATATCGGCAAAAAAATATTTTCTT